GCATGGCAGTAATTGCGAGCTGCCCATGAAGGAACAGACGTCAGGTTCTGGGCACAGGCTTGCTGCTGGGCAGCATCTCACCCGGGTCCTCACAGTCTCAAAAGTGAGTAACTCCATGTTATGGAGGAGGAAACTGAGCCTCAAAGAGGTGGATGGGAAAGCCCAGGTCACGCTGAGATACACGCTGGAGTCAGATGCATAGTGTCTGTGACACCGCGGTCAGAACCCCAACCCAGTTGTCACAAAGCTCAGCCAAGCTCACTTGACCATGGTCTTTGTGGCTCATGTCTAAGGACACAGAGAATGTTGTCTGTTCCATCCACAGCAACTAGAACTGGGCTGGCACAGAGCAGGTCCTGATAACTATTTGTTGACTGAATGAGTGGGAAATGATAGAATTTCTTAGTAGAGAACTAAGAAAAGTGACCCTGAGCCCTAGGAGAGAAAGGGTCACCCTTCAAGGTCACAGGGCTGGCAAGAGCAGAGCAGGGCCTGGGTGAGGCCCAAGTTTTCACTCAGCCCCAATACCCCCAACCCAACCAGCTCAGTTCATCACCACCCTGTCCCTGGTCCCCTGAGCCATGGGAATATCTAGTCTGGTTCAGAAGAGTGAAGCTGGCGCCACTGTGATCGGGCCTAGACTTCAGCCAGCTCACACCTGTGCTCTCAGTCTGGAGCAGTGGTCTCTGCCCTGGCCCCTGGTGGGAGGATTTGGAAGCCCTGCAGAGCAGATCTTCTTGCCTCCTTCCAGGAGCTGGGGCTGGGAAGGTCTGAGTCAACCCTACCAGGAAACAAGTGGTACCATGAGCAGCTACCTCTGACAGAGCCACAGGACTAGGCTGGGAGGTGCCTTGGTTTCCTCACGCCATCACTGCAGCCTGGACGGGAAGGCAGAGGCCTAAGGAGGGAAGGGAAGGCCCAGGCAGTGGAGCCACAAACCTGGGCCTGGGCTGAGCACAGGAAGACCAGGCATGAGATTCATCTTCCTTATGGCCCCCATGAATGTGCCTTATCCCGAGGAGCTGGGTGGGACAGGCTGAGATGGACAGACAGGCAGGCAGGGAAGCTACCTCTGACCACAGCCATGGCTCCCACTGAGGGCCTTAAAAACCTTGCCGGCTTCCTCAGGTGCCTGCCCCTCACAGACCAGAGCCCAGGCAGGAGGCCTGCAGGACCCCAGGTTCTGGGTTCCTCACACTGCCATCAGCAGTCAGAGGCCTGGCAGCCACAGACCCAGCCACTCAGGAGCCAGATGGGGCTGACAGGAGAGGCAGAGCCAGAGGCAGCAGGTGTGAGAGCCTGGCATGGGTGTGGACACCAAGTGTCACAGCCATCAGACTCCATTGTGGTTCTAGGCTGACTTTCGCAGCTGGGCTGGGTGACTACCAGTCAAACAACTTAGGCCAAGAGAATTGTGGCAGCGAGAAGGTAGAATACAGAGGCCCTTCTGCAGGAGCCACCCACAGCCAGGGCTGCCACTGAACAAAGACCTGCTTGTTCATCCACAGAGGAGTCCGAGGCACAGGTCCCAAAGGAACATGCAGAGATGGCATGGGAAGAAGCTGTGGATGTGCCCCAGGCATGCCGTGTGGCTCTGGGGTGGCCTTTGGACCTCTCCGAGCTCATGAGATACAGCTGGCCAAAGAGTTTCATACTTTGTTGCTTGGCCTAAATGGGAAGCAGAGCCTGGGAAAGTCCATGGGTGCATACTCCTAAATGCAGGTGCAAACGCCCCATGTGCAGCTTTTAGAACCTGTTTCTGGGTTTCAGTGTCTGCAAGACATGGGGCTTCCTGTCACATCCACACCAAAGCTGAGGTGCAGCTGGGAGGGACAAGGATCCACAGTGGCCAGGTAGAGATTGGCTCTCTGAGGGGAAAGGAGGGGCCCCTGCAGTTTGGTGAAGCAGTCACCTGATTCCAGCCCTGAGGCAGGCTGTTTAGGAGCCCCCATTCACAAGGAGTGGCCTGAGGGTCAGTGGACTAGGGACTTCCCTGTGGTCACAACAGGGCTGGGCTCTGCTCCATCCCAGCAATGGCTCCCACCAGAGTTGTGTGCTTAGACCCAGGGGATGCTGGGGGAATTCACCATGGGCTGGGCAGTGACTCATTCTGATGGGTGGCTCCTCTGGGGACATTCTTGGGCAAGTCCATTCACCCTGTTCTTGGTCTTGAGCCCTGGGTCAGCCTGTCCTGAGGATGGAGTTCTGGTCACAGCCACATATGGTCAGTTCAAAGCCCCACCCTGACCTCTCAGCAGGAGGGCAGCACCCAGGTCCCACTGGGTGGAGCCCTGTGCCAGGCCTGGCTCTCAACACTGGCAAGGAGCTGCTGCACCCTCCCCCATCTCAGGCTGCCACCAGCTCAGGGTTGGCAACACAGAGGTGTCTGTTCCTTCTTCCTCCCTTAGTGTAGGAAACATCTGAGGACCCCCCAAACCTGCAGCTGTTGGTCCATATTTCTCTGCCCAAACTTATCCGAAAGCTCTCTTCACCCTGAAAGCCTGACAGGACAGATGTCATGGTGATGGAGCTACCTTACGTCTGTCCAGGCTTGGCTGCATCTCCCCTGGATGATGGAGATGGAAACCCTAGCTACGCACTCACATGATGCTCAGGGATTGGGTCCTCTCCCTGCTCTGAGACCTCTGCCTGTCACCAGCCACAGACAGGAGAGGAGGTGGATGAGGACCTTAACAAGCTACATAGTAATGCCAGTAGATTAAAGAGCAGTGAGAAAATACTTTGAAGCCTTAGGACCAAACTGCTCCAAAGTTTGCAAGTTGTGCAGAGAGGAGGAGCCAGGCTTTGTCCAGGAAAAAGAGGCGGGTCCAAGGTGTTGCGGCCAGACCAACAAGACTGCTGTCCCCAGGCCTGAGGGTGTCCCCTCCTTACCCGGCTGTCTCCTGACAGCGCATCCTCCCTGCAGGCACCTGCTACACAGGGAAGTGCCTGCTGTGGACTTGGGCATGTGGGTCAGTTCTGGTCACTCTGCTGATGTGACCCAAGCTTCCTGTTGAACTTTGTCCCTCTCCTCAGCACTGCCCTTATCACAGTGACAGCACCAAGGCTTCTGTTTACTCATCTGTGTCTCAGGATCCGACTGCCTTTCTGGGGCCACCCAGGTGGGCCTGACACCACCAGATTCCATTCCTGGATGTGTTGCAGGCACATGAAGGAGGCCATCTACCAGACCACACCCTGCTGCTCCTGTGCCTCCATTCCCGGGGGGCCTCGGCCACCCCTTCTCCTCTGACCTTCCATGCCTTGCCTCCTCGGTTGTGTCCACTGCACCCTGGCTGCCCTTCCTGGCCAGGGAGTTGATACTTCCACTGGACCCCACTCATCGCGCACAGCCTGCGTTCTGTTCTTTACTCCCCAGCGACCGAGCGACCGGCTGGAGGGTGCAGTCCCCTCCTAGACTGCCTGCAGGAGCTCTACGTCAGGGGAGCACCTTGTCAGCGTCAGCTCCAGACAGCGTCCCCGCGGTCGCACTCACCCATGTTGACGAAACTCATGACCAGGTCGGCGCGGCCCAGACGCCGCCCTGGGGACCCGGCGTCCTCATCGTCGTCGCCGGCCATAGCGTGGTAGAGGTCCAGCATGAAGAGTGGCGCGGACGCAGGCAGCCTGGCTGCAGCGGGCAGCGCACGAAGCCGGGGTCGCCCGGGCAACCCGAGCACCGCCAGGATCTCGCGCTGCATGTCGCGGCGCTCGCGCGCACCTAGTCGACGCTGGGGACAGCTGTGCTGGGGACGCGAGCCGGAGCTGCTGCCCAGCGTGCACAGCGCCAAGCCCAGGAGCCAGAGCGGCCCGGGACGCGTGGCCATGGCTAGGGAGCACGTACTCCGCGGCCGTCTGGGCCCGAGCGGGGCCTCCCCGACGGCACCTGTCACCTGTGGGCCCAGCGGCACTCGCTAGGGCTCCAGGACGGAGGATGTGGCCGGTGCCGCTGCGGGTGGGTGAGGCGGGGCCTGAGGACAACCAGCTGATCCGCCTGTCTGCGCTGGACCCCCAGTCCAGCTGAGGCCGAGGTCGGCGCAGCGACAAGGGTAGCTGGCGAGCTCGAGCTCCGCGTAGTCCGCGGTGCGGACTGGTAAAGCGCTTCAGCCTGGCTTGGCTGACCTCGGTCCCGCCCTCCCCGGCCGGACCAATGGGGACGTGGGGGCGTGGTCAGGGCCGAGCCCATGTTCCCCAAAGGTGAGATCCCGGGGGTGCTCTGTAGCCCACGCGTCCCTTTGGTCCCAGCTCTACTGGGCGTCCACCCAGCCGCTGGTAGCGCTGTCGAGGGCGCCCCGGAGGCCAGGTCTTCCGCGGCCCTGGGAAAGGGAACCTGCGCTCCCGAGGGGTGTGGCTTTCTCGCCGGGCTGGTCCTGCCAGCAAGGAGTCGCTACCCCTCTCGACGCGTCTCCAGTCCCTCAGGAGGCAGCCCTGGCCCGAGGCTGGGACGCATTCCTCCGCCTGACACTGCGGGCCCTGGGGTCCATGTCCCCGCAGCTCCTCGCCTTCGCCAGGCGCTTTCCCCGCGGTGCCTGGGCGCCTCTGCCTTGGCTCCTGAGCCGGTCCGAGCTCCAACCTTTCGCCCGGGCTCCCACCCACCCTGCTGCCGCGTGCCCAGGCTGCCGTCACCACCGGTGCTCGCCGTACACCTGGCTTGCTGATCCACCCGCCTGCGCCTTCAGGGCAGCACCAGCTCCAGGACCCTCATAGAACCCCGGGGAGCCACTTTCGTGCATCCTCTCAGTCTTCAGCGGTTTGTAGAGAAAGGGCCTCCGGAAATACTTGGACAGAGCCCTTTCAGCGCACCCGCACGCCCTGCCCTGCGGCTCTCTCCTCACTGATTGGTGCGTGGCTAGGACCCTGCGCGGGAGGAAGCGGCCCCCGCCTGAGCCCCGGGGCTCCGCGGAGCTGCCCTGGGTCGACAGGAGTCAGCGGGAGAACAGTCCTCCAGCAGAGGGAAGAGCTTGTGTCGAGGCTCTCGACTCCGCCGAGCACCGCAGAGACGCTTGCCGCGTGCCGGGCTTGTTCTGAGCCCCGCCTGTTCCGCAGTGTTCACGAGTCCTCATGGGGCACACACCACCGGAGCCCCCTCTTCTTAGCAGATGAAGTGAGACACGCAGAGGTTCAGGGGCTTCTCCCAAGTCGCGCGTTTGCAGGGCCGGGATGGGGCAGGTGGCACCTGCAGGTTAGACGTTCGCAGAAGCGGGGGAACCGGGCAAACACGGGCTGGAAGGGCCGCCAGAGAGGGGCCACAAGGGCCCTTGCCGGTGCCCCCACGAGGTCCCTGCAGAATTGTGGCGTCTCCGTATGGATTCCAGATTAAACTGTTACCCATGAGGGCGTGCTGCCCATCCCCAAATCACATTTTAATGTAGTAATCACTTCAAAGTTTTAAATGTCAACAATTCTCAATACAGTCCGCTGCTGGGGCTTTAAACACATGGTTTAAAATCTACCCACGGGTAAATTTCCACGCGGTTCGCGAGCCCCACAATGCAAATCAGCGGAGGAAAGCGCCCAAGTGCAAAAGTCAGGATGCAGCAGCGGCGGAGGGGGCCGAGGGCCGGAGCCCGGCGTCTGGGTCTGGACTCGCAGCGGGTACAGGAACCAAGGGGGTGGGAGGTTGGCTGTCGCTTCTGGATGCGGAGGGGCGCAGGGCCGAGGAGAAAACCGTTTTCCAGGTTGAATCTGCAGCGCGCGGTGAGCGGGGCAGAGAGCAGAGTCGAGGGCTGCCCGCGTCGAGTGGTGAGGAGCTGAATCCGCCCCGCACCCCTGCAACCCGGGACCCCTCTGGACTCCCCTGGGTCCACACCACCACAATTGGAGCCTGCCATGCAGCCAGCAATTCCGGGGCTGTGTTTTGTGCGGTGCCGGGCTTCTAGTCAGACTGCAAGCGGCCCCGTGTTGGGGCTGACTCTCAGGGCAGAAATCCGATCTCCACGTACAGTGTGTGGAGGCGGCTGCTTGCTTTCCAGGGGCCACATTCCTGTAACTACGCGGCATCCCGGCCCGCAATTCAGCTCGACAACCACCAGGGTGCGCTGTTCTGAGGCGGGCCCCAGCGGACAGGAGGCCAAGACCTGAGCCCTGAGCAGACCTCACTGCATGGAGGCTGCCAAGGGTGGAAAGAAGGCTGTGCTCCCAGAGCAGCGACGAAGTGCCTGGAAGGGCAGAACGAAGTCGGGGAGGTGGGGGAAGGCAGCGTGAGTGGAACCCCGGGACTGGGCGGGAATTGAGGTGGGTTTCTTGGAGGAAGTACTAATGTCAAAACAAAGGCTTTCTCCTGCCTCCTGGTGACTCTGTGACCTTTCAAGGTCCTCTGTCTCAGGCTGGACCTCAGTCTGAAAGGAGACAAGATTATGCTGGGGAGATGGCTCAATGGAATAAGCACTTCCCTGGCAAGTCAAGGGCCTGAGTTCAATTCCCAGTTCCAAGACAAGACCCCAGGAACGGGGCAGGTGTTGAGAATGTGAGTTTAGCACAATCACTGGCCTATACAGAGCCCTCTATAAACATCAACTATTATCATTATTATATCTAAAGTATATTAAAGGCACTTTTTTTTCGCGGAACTGGGAATTGAACTCAGGACCTTGCACTTGCCAAGCAAGCACTAATTTTACTGAGCTATCTCTCCAGTCCCTAAAGGTACTTTTTATTGTTAAAAAGAGGGGGAGGCATTGTTGGAGATTGAACCCAGGGCTTTGCTTTTGTGTACCTTGCATTGTAGAAAATGTTGAAAATATAAGAAAGTAAAATGGTCACCCCAAAAATTTTAAATCACCATATAATCTCTGGTTATATTTGATATTTGTATTTTGCTACTGAAAAAAAATATATTTAAACTTTTTTGTAGTGCTGGATGGAACTCAAGGCTTTGTGCATACTAAATATGCCACACGAGTGTATTTTTAATACATAAAAAGGATATCACACTTGCTTTATCCATTCCATGATATAATTGCAACCTTTCACCATGACATTATTTCACACATATTTTTACTGTCTCCATGATATATTTTATACAGCTATCATAATTTATTTAACCAAGCCTGTGTTATTTGCTAATACATTGACATTTTATCTTGTATTTATATGTAACACATTTTATGTTAGATATAAAGTTGTATATGTAAAATGTCACAGAAAGGTCTGTGCCCATCCTTGGTGATTTCTTTTTTCTTTTTTTTTTTTTTTTTGTGGAACCAGGGATTGAACTCAGGCCTTTGTGCTTGCCAGGCAAGCACTTATTCTACTGAGCCATCTCCCCAGCCTGGTGATTTCTTCAGGATAAATTTCCAGAGATAAAATATTTGAATCAAAAATCATACATCTCTTTTAAGTGTTTCGATACATTTTGCTTCTTGCTCAAATAGTATGTTACCTGTTCTCTCTTACCTTTGGCAATACTAGATATTAGGGACTAGGGAGATAGCTCAGTAGAATAAGCACTTGTCTAGCAAGCACAAGGTCCTGAGTTCAATCCCCAGTACTGGAAAAAAAAATGCATAGATATTATTGCTAAATATATAAATAAATGAATCTGAGCGTTTGATAGGTAAAAGCATCTCTCTGCTGTGCTGTGGGGAATTGCAAACACCACTCTTCCTTTTAAGACCCTCCTCTACCCTGATTTCAAGAACATGTGCTGTCTTGCTTCTCCCTTGCCCAGGCCTTCATCCTGCCATTCTCTGGTCATTCCACAATCCTTCTCTCTCTGGGATGTTCGAGCCAAGATATGCTCATCCCTCTGAGAGGTCAGTGCTGTCACACCATTGTATGAGCTACAGGCACATTTTTGGAGAAGACCTTCCTCTCAGCTGCCAGAAGTTACATATGCAGACTAATTAGAGCTGACCAAAGCCAGGAACCTGGATGCAGGTCTTAGTCTCCTAGCAGTACTTCAGTCTAGGATTCTTTCTACCTTCTGACACCTCTTTCTTTTTTCCTTCTTTTTTTAAATCTTTACAATGAAATTTATTTTTTATTTTATTTTGGGGGGGTAAGAAACTAGACTCATTTATTCAAGGACTGAAAAGAAAAAGATCTGTCCTCATTGATTTTTTTTTTTTTTTCAGAATCAGGGATTGAACTCAGGCCTTTGTGCTGAGCCATCTCCCTGGCCCCTCACTGAATTTTATACTTAGGAAACATGGCTTTAAAAACTAAAAGTAGAAAAAAAACAACAACAAACTAAAAGTAGGGCCGGCCACATAGCTCAGTGGATTAAAGTGCCTGCAAGAAGGTGCAGGGGTTGGGGGTTTGATCCCCAGGCCTGCTGTGCTGGCCCTGCCCCTGGGGTGTGCTGAGACAAATTGAGACTGGGCATGATGGCACACACCTGTAATCCCAGCTCTTGGGAGGCTGTAATCAGGCAGATCAGGAGTCTGATCTAGTAGTGTGACCCTGAACACCCGGTAGACCTTTCCCTAAAATACAGGAAAAAAAGAGGAAATTACAAGATTGGCTTACAACGGCCAGCCGTAGAGTCAGATGAGGAAGTGTGCAGAGGGCATCTGCACACCTAGACTGGAAGAGTCAGTCTCAAGGTCTGAAGCTCACTGCAGTGTTTTGTGTAAGTCTCTGTCAGTCAGCCAACAGGTCTGCCACAGAAGGCTGAAGAATCTGCGACGGAAGCTGAAGGATCCAAGCTGGAGGCCAAAGAGTCAGTGCTGGAAGCCAGGAGATGAAGTCCAAGCTGACTGTGAAGACTGAAGTTGCCCTGTCTATGGCCATACCACCCTGAACACGCCTGATCCTGTCTGAAGTTGCCCTGAAGAAGTGGACTACCGCAGAATCTTTCCTCAACCCCTTTACCTTTTCGGTGCTGAGTCACCCTGGAGCAGGCCCTCCCCATCCT